GGTTCCAGATAAATTTTAGGAATGATTTCTCTATGTCTGTGAGATATGTCTATGGTAGTCTGGTAGGGATTGCATTAAATCTGTTCAACAATTTTGAGAGTATGTCCATCTTCACAATGTTGGTTCTTCCTATCCAGGAGCATGGAATATCTTTCCATTTTCTGAAATCCTCTACACGATGTGTTTTTTAAGAGTACTGTAATTTTCCTTGAAAAGATCTTTGAATTCTTTTGTTATATTAATTCCAATGTATTTCAATTTCCTCGGTGCTCTTGTAAAAGGTTTTGTTTTTATAATTTCCCTCTGAGTGTGTTTGTTGTCTGTGTAGAGGAATGCTATTGACTTTTGGGTATTCACTTTATAACGTGCTATGCTATTGAATTTCTGTATTAATTCTAGTAGCTTCTTGGTGGAGTTTTTTCAGTCTTCTATGTAAAGTATCATGTCATCTGCAAATAAAGATAATTTAACTTCTTCTTTGCCTATTCTTATTCCTTTTATTTTGTTCTCTTGTATAAGGGCTGTAGCTAAGTAATCCAGAACTATATTCAATAGGAGTGGTGATAGACGCCATCTTTGTCTTGTAGAAGATCTAAGAGTAAAAGATTTCAGTTTTTCCCCATTTAGGACTGTGTTAGCTGTTGGGTTTTCGTAAATGGCTTTTACCAGATTGAAGTAGAAGTCATCTATTCCAATTTTCTGGAGGACTTTGCACATGAATGAGTGTTGGACTTTGTCAAAAGCCTTTTCTGCAGCAATGGAGATGATCATGTGGTTTTTAGTTTTCGCTCTATTGACATAGTGTACTACATTGATAGATTTTCGAATATTGAACCATCCTTGCATCCCTGGGATGAATCCTACCTGGTTATGGTGTATGATCTTCTTGATGATTTATTGTATTCTATTTGCTAGGATTTTATTGAGGATTTTGGCATGTATGTTAATGAGCGAGATAGGCCTGTAGTTCTCTTTCTTAGTTGCATCTTTCCCTGGTTTACATATCAGTATAATACTTGCCTCCAGGAATGATTTTGGGAGGATTGTTTCCTTTCGAATTTCGTGAAAGGGTTTGAGGTGTTTAGGGACTACATCTTCTGTAAATGTATTGTAGATTTCAACTGTGAATCCATCCGGACCTGGACTTTTCTTTGCCTGTAGGTTTTTAATTACATCTCGTACTTTATTGGCTGTTATTGTGCTATTGAGAGTGGTTATATCTTGTTGTTTCAGTTGTGGTAATTTCTACCTTTCTAGGAATCTGTCCATTTCTTCTGTGTCTTCTATTCTGTGAGAGTAAAGATTCTTAAAGTAGCTAATGATAATCTTCTGAATTTCCACTGAGTCTTTGGTAATTACACCCTTTTCATTCCTTATTGCTTGTATTTGAATTTTTTCTTT